GCTGCAGTACTTTTGTGATGAGGTCTTTTACTCATACACGTTTGTCTTGCCTTAAACTCTTAAGCTTTTCTGCCTCTGCATGTACTTTAGTTTCTACATATTTCCCACATGTGTTTTTCTTGAACCAAAGTACAGATCTAAACATTTTTGCATAACTTTTTTTGTAGCTGTTTTTACAGTGATCCCAACACTGTCTCCCATTAGCAGTACTTTTGTGATGAGGTCTTTTACTCATACACGTTTGTCTTGCCTTAAACTCTTAAGCTTTTCTGCCTCTGCATGTACTTTAGTTTCTACATATTTCCCACATGTGTTTTTCTTGAACCAAAGTACAGATCTAAACATTTTTGCATAACTTTTTTTGTAGCTGTTTTTACAGTGATCCCAACACTGTCTCCCATTATGACACTGGCATCTTGTTTGGGTCCTTCCAGCAGTGGCCAAACTTCTGTCCTTTGACATCGTACCATTGAAATGGTGTTTTCGTCACTTTTTTTAGAGCTCATGAGACCAACTGGAAGGCTGTGCCAGCTGCCACAGTAGTGTTTGTTTTGTAATGGCAATAGGAAAGACTGTGTACTATTGTTAAGTAGCTTGTGCATGTAAATTGAGTACCTTTTGTTGCTGTATGACAAATTATTGTACTGCAACCAATGCTTTTATCAAGAATCAATTAACTAAAATATCTTGAAAGAAGTTAATCATGTGTCGTCTTGTTAAAACATTTAGGTGACCACAGAAATGTGGAGGGCAAGTGACACATGGTAAGTCTTGGGTATTTCAAGCTGTTGTCTGATAGTATAATCAAGAGTGTGACTTCTGGGGTTTCAGTATTTGACAAAGATGAAGAAATAACTTGTGGTTTGAGAGGATTAGTGGCACTGCTGGAGGCTGAGAGAAAGTGCTTGTTGGGTACCACAAGTACCACAGTGGTAGCTTGCTTTGCCTGCAGAATCCACACTTGTGTGGATGTGGTACTGCTTTATGTGGAAGATCTGTGCCTGGTCTGTACCCTGTCTCCCCACAAGGAGGGTGGGTTTTTCTGAGGTATGTGGGTGAAAATAGTTCCTGATGCTCTGATCACACTTTAAAAAAACTTAGCTGACAAGACAGAGCACTAACAAAACGCTCCTCTTTGTTTTCTGTTGTCTTCTCCGTCCTTGATAAAAGGAAAAGCAAACACTGCAGGACTGTTCAGAGACTTCAGTATTGCTCCTGTGGGTTTTTTTAATTCGATCAGTTTGTCCTGTGTTAACAGGATTTTTTTTTGTTAAAGGGCTGGTAGACCCGAAAGTGTGTTCAAAATGCTTTCTTTTATTGTAGCTTAAAACACAAATGTACTTTTGACTGTATGTTATCTCTAGGAACAAAGAACATGCATCTGATAATACGGTTACCTGAATCTTCTCACCAATATTTTCTCATGTGTGTACTTTTACATAAATTATTTGAATTCAGACAACATATTTTGTATTGTCTTTAATTAAATTGTTGAACTTTCTGTAAACTTTTGTACTACAGCAAAGCTGTTCTGTGTTTCTTTATTAGACCAGATGCTGGAGGGGAAATGCTAATAATATCCTGTGGGTATTCAGCCTCAGTTATACAAAATGGGAATTTATTATTTAAGTTATAAGCAGGTGGTCCTTTGAAACTGTCATAGGGGATACCACCATGGAGTGGGACTTCTGTCTCTTCATGCTTGGAAGAGAGTGATTTAAACCATTAAAATGTTTGCATGGTAAATTGGTGGCGTTTGTGATTAATACTAGTCAGAAGTCCACTTGAACTTCTGGAATTGACTGAGTTTTCCTGTATGCAAAATAAGCCTCTTTGAACTTTCCTGGACTTTGGAGCTCCTCACTTTTTTCACTCCTCGGTCAGATGTGGATATCTGCTCATAAAGAAGTGCTGTGAGGAAAACATCTGTACTGGAAGGATGGTCTCAACTCATTTTGACAGCCTGTACAGGTTGGCTGTTATTTCACTCTGTTCTGGCTGCAGTGTGTAGTAGAAGTCTTTGTTAATGCTGTTCAACAGTTTGTCACACTTCTAGCTAAGGTGTTTCCCTCTTCTTGGTCTGACATTTTACATGGTCTAGTGACAAGCTGACAGAGTAGCACTATATAAATGAAATACCTTTAATAAAGTATTGAGGAATTATCATCCTGCTCTGAGAGTCTTATGCCTCTGGAATTTTTCAACCTGAAATACTAAGGAAATAGTTAGAGTTCTCATAACACAAATTCAAGCTCCTGTTTTAAAGTCTTTGTTTAACATTTGTTAAGGCTTTTACCCTTGTCTCAGTGTTCAGGACCCTTGGCATCCAGTGTTGGGGCAGTGGGAATGGGCAGAGGGGTTTGGGCAAAATTGGGATTTAAAAGCCAGGCAAGATAAATGCAGAGGTATATTTTTGTTTTGTTTTGGAAGGCAGATGTATGCATTAGAGTGCTGATGTAGTACCTCTTCTGTAAGTAGATGATGCCAAGATAAGGCCTTTTGTAGGCAGGAAACAGATCTGGTTGAAGTCTTCACCTTAGTAGTACACAGGTGTGTAAGCAACTGGTAGCTCTGACTGCTGCTCCACAGTCTCATGAGTTGCTCCTTCTGTGTATGTGTGCAAAGACTAAGTTGCTGTGAAATACCAAAATTATTTGAGACTTGAAACGTAATGCATTTTATGTCTGTTTTGTGTTCTGTTCTTGATACTGTGCTTATCAGAGTGCCTTACTTGTCTATTGTTATAAAAAGGGCCTTATGCTTTTGCCTGATGGGTTTAAGCCCTTCCAAACATATGAATATTGATCTATCAGAAAATAGATTATCTTGTCATGGAGTATTAAATGTACTGAACGAAACCATTCACTGGTTAGAAAACAAGGACCCAAAGGGTGAGAATTGCTGTATTGGACATACAGCTGCAATTCCCATCGGGAAGAGGTTGCCACTGAGCAGGTTGGTAGAGCAGTAGCATGGAGTGCCACCTTGTCTTTGCAGAGCACTTCTGCTTGGATTTGACAGAGTGATCTGTTTGCACCATGGTGATCCTATCTAGGTTTGCTAAAAATTGCTTGTCTGTTACTTCCAGGGGGGAGCAAGGAGGAAAGGGAGGAGAATGAGATTCTGCCAGGGCATTTTACCTGCACAGAGATGCATAGAGGAGCTATTAAAAGAGAAAAACCTATGATTTACATTCATGGTACTTTCCTGCTGTTCTGTGTGCCTCAGGAGTGCTTTTAACATGCTGCAAGGGTGGAAGAAAGAGCATGTCTTGGCTATTGAATCATAGAAGTAAAGAAAAAATGTTAGTAAAATACCCCATTTTGAGCACAGGGGTCCTTGAAGAGTAAGAGGAGAATGATTACAGATGATTTACCTTTGCAGTACAACTGCCAAGTTACCAAAGACCACATCAAAAGCCAGTTGGATATTAAAAGGAGAACAACCCCTTTTGGTGAAGTTTCAGGTAGGCTTTGATGCAGATCTGCTAGTCATTTTTTTTAATGCATGGTTTCCCCTATTAGTTACTTGCCCCATTTTGGGTAGGAGCACTGAAGGGTGTATTTTCATTCTACACACTTTACTCTGAGAGCCCCGAAACCTTTAAGGGATGGCAGGACTGGGGCAGAGCCTGTAACCAGAGCCCATTGTTTGTAGGGGAATATCCCAAGAAAAGCCCATGCTATGAGGGGCAGTTTCATCTCTGTTTACAGTCCTCAGTTGCCTTGTGAAGACAGGCAGACAGTGGGATAGCTCCTCTGGGAAAAGAAATTACTGTATTGTGTTAGTTTATGGCAAGGGTTATTGTGCTGAAATGCTGAGGTACAGGACCACCCTTCACGTGGATATTAAAAAGAGAAGTTTCTCGTGACCTGCACTGGAAACCTTAACATCTCATAAGATCTTAATATCTCAGCAGTAGATTAAGGCCTGGCTGTAAATTTTGGCAGATTACAAAGTCTGGGGAAGGCCAAAAGGCAGTTGCATATTCTGTTTCTGTGCATCAC